TAGAAACATGGTAAGCTGCTCCCTGGGTGCTAGGCAGTGTGGCCCAGCTTTCACACAGGAAGAGCTCCATGTGCAGGGTGCTATGTGACTGAGCCTGGGTGTTGTGTTGAGTGGGTGGAATCCAGGCATTTTTAGCATAGGGTATTTTCAACTCATGGCTTGACTAGGATGTAACTACATAGTAAATTCAGCATCTACTATACTAATGGGATTTTTAAGGGTGGGTTTCCTCAACTTGTGCCTATTTTAAATGGTAGATGTGACATATAACTGTTCAGTGAGCCAGTCACTCGGAAGCATTGGCTGTCCCCAGAGTGTATAACCCCTGTTGGTGTACATGCAGGTCACAGCGCAGCATATGTCAGCCAGGCCCTTTTCCAGGACTTGTGGGTTACTGAATTTCATATTACTGTGCTATTGAAGCTTATGAAAATTAAGCCAAGCTTGGGGTGCTTGTCCAAAGTACCATCCAGTTAACTTTTAAATGAGATTAAGTTCCCAGCCGGCTTTTCCACACAGCAAATTGTGGGAAGTCACGTGTTTGGCATCACTCACCCTTAAATTAGAAACAGGACAATAGAGGAAGTTGTTGATTGGAACCAATTGTCGTTTCACTTGTCTGAGTGCATCTGCAGATCATAACAAAATTGTTGTCACTGAGTGCTCAACAATCACCGGAGCAGGTTCCAAGGGAAATGCTTTTTTCTGTGATGGGGAAAACTTGCCTTGACCATTTCACTGGTATAGAAGATTCCAGAAGAAGTCCCAGTTTACGCTGAACTTGTCCACATTCTGAGCAGCCTAGAGGAGGCTCCAGGGATTGCAGAGCTGCCTGTTCCTTGGACAGGATAAGTCTGTTCCTTTTTGTGTTGCTCACAGTATGTTGCAATGCTTGAACTGTATCTGTCAGAAGAATTATTTCAGTGCCTTTGGAAATCATTGATAATGTAGTTGTGTAGATCATCTTCCTTGAAGTGGACAGTTTGCATACACTAAGATGATGGTGGATATACTCATCCTTATGAGGCCATCCTTTCTCAGAAGACCCAGGTGCAAACAGGGCTAACATGTGGCTGGTCTCTGTTGGTGTGAGCCCATGGAGCTCATACTTGTCTGACCCTGACCTTGTAGAGGTAGCTAGCCTGGCACACTCTCAGTCAGGGACTGGACAGCTTTCACGTCCAGGTGTTTATCTTTTTCCTCATCTTCTCACAAAATGGCAAATTTTCAGCTAGTTGTTGGAAATAGGATAGGGATACCCCAAACACATCAGAGGAGCCAACAGTACCCACCTTTGGCTTCAGGGAAGTCCTTGTACTCATTGGGGATTTCCAGCAGTATTTTGTGCTGTGGCCTGTGTGCTGAATTTTGTGAACTTCTTAGTGTTCCCAGGTAAAATGGAGACATGTTCAGCTGACCTAGTGGCAACTGTGACCAGAGGTCTGTGATTGAGGCTGCCACAGTTTGCTGCTCCTCAGCAATTCTTGCTTAGGCCTCTCTTCCCAGTAAACTGCTAGGAAAGGCGATGGTCCAGGAGAGGTAGAGCTGGCTAGGAAGGTGTGGCCTCAGCATTCCCTCCTGCCATCTGACCTCTAAAGTCACCTCTCAGCCTAGTGGCCTGATGGCAACTGCTTCCAGGTCTACTTTACATACCAATTAAGACATTTTACACAGAACAGCAGCAGTGAAGTTGGGTGAGTGTGGAGACCCAGCAGTCCCTCCCCTCAGTTGTCCCCCTGAGTAAAGTATCCTGAGGAAAGCCATTGCTTGGTGAGACCCCAAGATCCTACTGGCCCTCATCTAGCGTGGAAGTTGGCAACTGTCACAGGCTGAGACCTGAACTTACTGGGCTGGCAAGCAGGCTGGGAGCGGGTTTTTGAATTTTTAAGGGATTGTCAAAAGTAAAAACAATAGGTGACAGAGACAGTGTGCAGGCTCTGAAGCCTAAAGTATTACTACCTAAACTTTACAGGAACACTGGCCACATCTAGTCTATTGATTGGCTCAAAATATAACAAGGGTTCAAGCATTTTTAAAGAAGCCCCTTTAATAACCTTGGAACAGTTTCTCAGTCTGAAACTGTTGAGATCTGGTGGTGGAGCATTCTAAGCTGTGGAGCTGTGCACCCCACGGCATCAGCTAGTAGCCCAGGCCAGGAGCAGCCCCTCCACTGGTGACAGTGAGAACCACCCCCACTTGAGTGCCACTGCCTTAGAATAATTCATGCACGCTTACTATGGCATGTATTGCCTAACTTTTAGCTGTTGCTGTGATGACTTAGGCAGAGACGACTGCATTTCAGGCAGTCCTCTCCTAGGATGGAAGCAGCAGTGGGACAAAGGGCCTACTGAGCAAAAGTGTTTGATGTTTGTGATTAAGTGGTTAGAATTTCTTGGAAAGCTAATTGCAAAGCACAGCTGATTTATGTGGACTCCGCAGACACTGTGTGAACATACTTTCTTTTCTGGAGACTGATCCCTTTTATCTGGTAGAAAAAGGCAGTTAAATCAGTGACCTTATTTTGATGCAAGATTGGAAAATTGCAAAAAGGAAAATTGTGCCAGCATTCTCTTACGATCAGAATGATTCAGAAATGCTATGCATAGGTCAGGAGTAGCAGAGTGTCTATGCCAAAGCAGGGCGATTTGTTACGCTCCACTGTTTGCCTTGCGCATGTTGGAAGTGGTTCCGTAAGAAAGTCTTTAGAAAGATGATTGTAGGCAGGTGGTAGTTTGGAAACACTGCTTTATTTAAGAGATTTACTTGGCAGAGGACCTTTCAAATGAGGGCTGAGGTGAGGTTTGGGGAATGTGCAAACGAGTATATTGCTAGGATTGCTCGCAACTTTAATTGGACCTTCCCTTGCAGGGAATCAGGTTTCAGCTGCAGGGAGGGAGCGACTGTGGGCAAGAGCCAGTGCTCTGGGGGAGCAGCTCCCACTGGGCCCCTGGGCCCCCTCCCCTGTGGGACTTGGGGGGGCAGCTCTCACTGGGCCCCTGGGCCCCCTCTCCCCTGTGGGGCTTAGGGGGGCAGCTCTCACTGGGCCCCCGGGCTCCCTCCCCTATGGGGTTTGGGGGAGCAGCTCTCACTGGGCCCCCGGCCCCCCCTCCCCTGTGGGACGGGGGGGGGCAGCTCTCACTGGGCCCCCGGCCCCCCCTCCCCTGTGGGGCTTGGGGGGCAGCTCTCACTGGGCCCCCAGGCCCCCCTCCCCTGTGGGACTTGGGGGAGCAGCTCTCACTGGGCCCCTGGCCCCCCTCCCCTGTGGGACTTGGGGGGGCTGCTCTCACTGGGCCCCCGGCCCCCCTCCCCTGTGGGGCTTGGGGGGCAGCTCTCACTGGGCCCCCGGCCCCCCCTCCCCTGTGGGACTTGGGGGGCAGCTCTCACTGGGCCCCCGGCCCCCCCTCCCTTGTGGGACTTGGGGGGGCAGCTCTCGCTGGGCCCCCGGCCCCCCTTCCCCTGTGGGGCTTGGGGGGCAGCTCTCACTGGGCACCCGGCCCCCCTCCCCTGTGGGACTTGGGGGAGCAGCTCTCACTGGGCCCCCGGCCCCCCTCCCCTGTGGGGCTTAGGGGGGCAGCTCTCACTGGGCCCCCAGGCCTCCCTGCCCTGGGGGACTTGGGGGAGCAGCTCTCACTGGGCCCCCGGGCCCCCTCCCCTGTGGGGCTTAGGAGAGCCTAAGTGAAGATGATGTCTGGAGGTTCTGTCCCCACTCCACAAAGGGAGCAGATGTTAATCAAAACTCATCTTTGGTTAAATGGATGATACTAGATTTTTTTGTCAAAAACTTTTCAGTAAAGTTTTAGCCCACAGACCTGCCTTTTTATTATTATTATTATTATTATTATTATTATTATTATTATTACTTTATATTTTAGGGAAGGGTCTACAGGGTGTTCAGGGTCTCACTACTAGATTGGACTCGCAGTGATCTTCCTGTTTATAGCCTCCCAAGAGCTGGGATAACAGGCGCGTGCCACCATGCCCAGTCTCAATTGCTGTCTCAGTGCACCCCAGGGGCAGGGCCAGCACCCCCCCCCCTTTTTGTACAAACCTGCTTTTAATATAAAATGTTGGCAGTGTTTTGTATGACTTCAGGGACCCCTTATGTGGAGCCCACCCCCTGAAGCTCTTCCGGGGGATGACTGGCCTCTTGCCTGGAGCCTTTCTAAGGGCACATTTCCAGCTGTTGCTCAGCAGTCCACACTGCTGTTGTGTTCATCCAAGTTGACCATGTTACAAGCTGGTCATAGGAACAGGCATGGAGGATACCTCAAGACTGAGTTGTAGAGGTTCCACGATCCCTAGGAATGCCGTATATGGGCTTGGAGTCTCTGTACCCCTACATGTTACAAGGAGTTTGGCCCATACGTACATATTTTTTGGGAAAGGAGTAACTTTCATTCATTATCAGAAGGTTTTATAAGCTGAGTGGTTCAAGGATCACTGCCCAAGATGATCGATAGCAAGGACCCCGGCCTCAGTACAGACTTTGGACTTCCTTGCTGCGGCCAGCACTGGGTCTTAGTCCAGCTCTCATCACTGCCCATCTTTCTTTGTCATTTTTCCAGGTGGTGCCTAAAGCCTCTCTGTGGCTGGTTTTCAGCTGTCCCCCCACCCCCTATCATAATGCTGGTGGGTCAAGCAGGGTGCACACAGGAATATGTGTGTACCACAGGATGCAGAGGTGACGGTGTTATCCTTCGCTAAAGAACAAAAGCACTGCTGGCTTTGTTGTGGCTCCTTGTCTTCTACCTTTCTTGGTTGTGCCACCTTTGTCCACCCAGTATTAAATCCCCCATGAGCGACTGTCATTTCTCTAGTGGTCAAGTGTCCATTGTACGGACACTCCCAGAGAGCCAGGGGTGGGACAGGCCTGGAGAGGGTCCTGAGTGGCGAGGACCAGTCTCCGACGCACGCAGGTTCTAGCAGTGGGTGGGCAGCTTGTGGCAGACCATGATAAGGGCCGCCCCTGACTCTGGCTGGGTGTCTTTCCTCTTTTGCAGAGCCTCCAGTCACTCGATGGGGATTCACAGAGGACCACCTGTGTTTGTCACCTTCCCACCTCTCTGTAGCAAGAGAAGTGACTGCAGCGCCTCTTCAGTAATGATGATGAAACTGGTATTAACTGAGTGGCATTTATGGATTTTTAACTCTAACTTGCAGTGAACCAGCAAGCCATATGTTTACACTCCAACCAAAAACCCTCTGTTTGCTGCGTGTCTTCTGCAATCGGGAGAAGCTGAGACACCCATTTATACAAAGAGGAATATAAGTGTTGCCTGCCTGAGGAACGCACCTGGAGCAGAACGAGACGTCTTAATTTATCATTAAAGAGATATGATAGTATTATTTATATAGTTTAAAAAATATATATATATATATATATTTTTTTTTTGGTGGTAATGAAAATGGCTCCGCAGAATGCTGACTCGGAATCTATGCAAGTGCAAGAGTTACCTGTGCCCCTGCCAGACCCACAGAAATCTGGAGACCTGGAGACCGAGAACCGTGATGAGACCATCAGCGAGGGGTCCATAGACCGAATCCCCATGCGCCTGTGGGTGATGCATGGGGCAGTGATGTTTGGCAGGGAATTCTGTTATGCCATGGAAACGGCACTGGTCACGCCCATACTGTTGCAGATTGGTAAGTGCTACACAGGTCACTGTGTCCAGCATGGCACTGACCATGCTTCGGGGGCTAGACCCAAGTGTCTTCAAGAACCTTGATGTGGGGTCCTAGTCTTTTCTCCTTTAACCTGCTCTCATAGTTTCCTCCTTGTCTGTTAAGGCCAGCCAGGGTATATATGGCCTCCTGGGGTCAGTATCTAGTCACAAGTTTTGGCAAAAGGTGTGGTTGAACATGTGGACATTCTGAGCATCAGTGGCTTTGTTGAGATTCATCGACACAGAGGAGCCCAGCATTATGAAGTGCTGGTGACTTCCTGAGTGCCACCGGGGAGTAGCTGTGAGGCCAGAAGTTTTGTCAGAAGGTTTATAGCCTTTCCTGTGGTCTCAGAAAGTTACAATCGGTAACTTTGAAACTTGTTAGTCTTATAAGAGATCTAGGTAAAGGGCTAGGTAAGTTAAGAGTATAGCTTCTCTTTTATTCTAGAATTCCACATGGACAAGGTAAACTATCTTAAGAATAGATTTGGGTTATTTTAGAGACTTTTTTGCCACAGATGTAACTGTCTTGCTCAGTGAGCACTGACCCAAGCCCCACTGCATGTGCAGAGTGAAGTGCGCAGTTCTGAGGTCCAGGATGGTAGCCCCTGGTGGTGTCAGTCTGTCTCAGGCCTCTAGTTCCTGTGCCTGTCCAGGTCTGTCACCAGACAGGTTGGTGGATACTCCACATGATGGTTTAGAACTTCCAGCATCTTCTTTCAGTGTGCTTTTCTTTGTAGAATCCTGTGCATTTCATTTACCTCTCCCTAAAGCCCTTGTTCTGAGGGCTTTTGACTGTTGACTGAGGCACTGACAGGACCAGAGCCCCTGCAGGGTGGGGGAGTTGTGGAGCATGATCACATATAGGTCACTCTTTGTTCCTGCTTGTCACTGTTCTGCTTTTGTTCCTTTGGTGTCCCCCTTGCTAGGGTACTAAGGTGGCACTGTATCTGTCCTCTTGTGGCTTAACCTGGTGGGAGAGACAGAGGCAACTGACTCGATCCACAAGAACTACTTTAAAAGAAGCCCTAGGGAAAGAAAGAGCCCCCCCAGGAAGAGGGAGACACCAGCTTCTCCCTGGAGGGGGATGAGACAGCATGCTCGGAGGGAAGGGCCTCTGTGTCCACAGGCTGGAAGTTTGCCTTTGTAGTTAGCCCCAGCAAGGAGAGGTTGGGTTGTGATCCACATCACCTAACATGTATTTTGTCCACTCCATGTGTAAGGACTTGCACCCAATCATGCTGAAACAGTTGTGTACCAAAGGTAAGGTGGTTAGAGTCAGGTTCATCCCTCAGTTCTGGACCACCTCTTACGGTTATGGAGACAGATACAAAACACATTACCTCTGGTGACTGCTGAGTGAGTTGACCCAGTAAACAGATGTCTGAGGACTCTCAGTCCCACATTTTCTTTGTTGTAGGTTATGTGTGTTATAGCCTCAAAACTGGTTTCAAAGTTCATAGTACACATCAAGGTGTTTGACAGGCACAACTCCTTGGAATTTTCATACTTTATAGGTTGTGAACTTTAATCCCATACAATTTTAGCATACTTCATTGTTCGATTTTGAGTATAGTAAGTTCCCAGTTTACAAACATTTGAGCTGTGAACTTCCACAGGTGTACTGTTTGAGACTCACTTTGTCGGATTGTGAATGAATCCTGCTTATGAACATTCTCTCATGATGGAGCACATTCATAGGTTGGGGACTTCTAGTATTTATTACATGAGACTTGTATAATATCAGGTAACTGAGGATAGTAAGTGTGTGTGTGTTTTACTATGTAACTGATACAGCATATTGAAAGTGTCTTTCCTGAGTTCTAGGTATGTCTGCTCCCTATCAGATTCCAGAAATGATGATGACTGAAATAGGAACATTGTAACTGTCTCGGTTACTCTTTTCTCATGCTGGGACAAATACCCAACATGCAAAATTAAGGCAGGAAGAGTTTTTTTAGCTCACAATCAGCGGAGGTTTCAGTTCATAATCAGCTGGCTCAAGGCAGAGTAGCACAGTGCAGAGAGCCCTGGTTGTGCTGCAGCAAAGAGCAAAAGCAAAGGGAGTGGCAGCAGCTCAGGCAGCGAGCGCGCCTCTCTCCCCTCCTTCCGCTGCAATGCAGGGTACCCACCCTGGGCCAGGGTGTAGCATTCACAGCTGCAGTCACAGCATTGGATCAGGAGTCAGTCACAAACTCCAGAAGCCACCCATGAATGCATGAGGCTTTAGGGGAACAGCTTGACACAAACCATAACAGTAACAAATGAGCAGGCCATGGCAGTCTGACCTGAGGGATGACAGTATCCCATGTCAGCCCTCACACTATACAGCTCATAAACCTGCACGCCCAGTCTGTGTGTAACTGGACTTAGGGGTTGGGCTGACAGTGGGGATTGCACTGGGCCCTTCCCTGTGTGCTGCATCCCCAGCCCTTCTCTTAATTTTTTTGAGACAAGGACTTGCTTGTGGCTGAGTTGCCCGTGCAAGGCTCATACCTGCCGTCCTCCTGCTTTAGCCTTTCAGACTGCTGAAATTATAAGCACATGCCCACAGTCCCAGCTGTCATTTGTGTTTTACATAAGTGGGTGAAAGTGAGTCTGTTCTTTCTCTTTCAAAAGGTTAACTCCCAGGTAAAACGTTGCCATTCAAAACTCAAAAACTGAACACACCAAGAAATGGATTAGCTCGGGCTCAGCCACTATGAAAGGTCGTAGGAGAGTTGTGCTCAGTTCGGGAGTAGTTAGCTGAGAGTACACAGAAGATAGTCCATCTCTGACATCTCTGCAGCTAGTAAACTTACACCTTTCTGTGATAAGTTGTCTTTTGTTAAAATGTCAGTGCTCATCACTGCTTGATGAGCCTGGTAAGGGACTATATTATCATTGTCCCCAATGTGACTCTTGTAAACAGAAGCTGTTAGGGTACCCCATGACAGTGAAGTCCTTCTTGCTTACTGCCCATAAGACGAGGCTGTTGGGGACCAGTGACTGATGACAGCTATGTGGTGGGCCTTCCTAGGCCTGGGAGGAGGCCTTGGATGGCAGTGGAGGAAATGGGTGTACATTGGGGAGCAGGAGCAAGCCTTAGCGGGACTGACTCCCTGTCTGGGTCCTGCATGCTGGGACCCACCTGGCCAGGAAAGGATAGGATGGTTACACCAGAGGGCAACCTGTGCAGCTCTCCCTGTGCGTGCAGGGAGAGTGTGGTCAGCACTGTCAGATGAGCGGGCTGGTCTGGCACCCTGGAGCTGCCTTGCCTTTGTTTCTGAGTCTTCACTTGCAGAGGAAACTGTTAAGGTCTTTTCTTTCTTTTTTTTTTTTTTTCTTCCATCTCTTCTCAGAACTTTTCCTGCCTTCTTCCCTCTTGTCCCTCCTTTTCTTCCTTCTTTCTTTGTACCCCCACAATACAAGTGATTGAACCCCAAAACCTTTCGTTTCTGAGACTAGATCTCACTTAGGCCAGCCTTGAGCTTGGGTTCTTCGTGCCTCTGTTAATCTGCTTTCTTAAATTGAGAACATTTTTTCCTCAGGGTAGAGTTCAGAAGGTACTCTCAGTGGACAGTGAGGTCTCTTCCTGTTCCCCAACCATTTGGCTCTGTCCTGTTTCTTCTGACTCCTGCATGGAACACGCCAGGCAGGTGTCATTGTGCCTCATCACCGTCCCCTAAAGTGACTGTTGTAAAGCATCCCTAGCATATCATGAAGCTGGTTCCATGCCAAAACAGAAAGTTGGTTCTTTTTAACTGTAATAGCTGCCTGTGGGCACGCACCCGGCCGTGGGCCTATGTAGCTATGTCCAGGCGTGTCTCTGGCTGCCCTTGCTGCAGGCTGTCCCTCCTTGTCTTACTTATTTCCTTATCGCAGGGATAAAATACCTGCCACCCACAAATTGAACGGGGAAAGGTTTATTTTAGCTCACAATTTGTAGAGGTTGGCTGACTTCAAGGCAGGGCAGTATGGCTGATGGGCATGACAGGAGAAGCAGTTCATGGCAGGAAGGCAGGAAGTAGCAAGACTTCCTCCTTTCTGTTTTTATGCCATCCAGGCCACAAGTCTGATGGGGGTTGGTGCCATCCACATTCGGGGTGGGTTGTCCTTCAGTAAATCCATCATCCATGTCCACAATTATGCTAAGCCAATCAGTGGACAAATTCAGTATAACACACCCATGATCCAGTCCCCTCCCTTATGGGCTCATAGCCCCATCTGTGAGCACATGATACTTTAGGGGGACATCCAGAAAAAAGCCCATAAATTCCTTCAGTCAGTACTACTGCTTCTTTACTTGAGGTACCAATGTTAACTGCGAAGTAAATTACTATTTATTGGATGGTTCAACTTTTAGAAGAGACTTCTACAAATAAATGTGTTCTTAGGGGGCTGGAGAGATGGCTCAGTGGTCTAAGGCACCTACTTAGAACAAGCTTGGCAAAGCATCAGGGACCAAGGTTCAATCCCCCAGCACCACATGCCAGCCAGCCCCGCCCCCTGGTGGGCTGAGCTGGCCACACACACACGCCACACTCTCTCTCTCTCTCTCT